ACAGAGAAAGGGGATAAACTTCTCTGAAATTATTCTTCATAGTGTTTCAAAATGTATTCAACTACTTAATTAGCATTTTCCATATTTTTCTGTTCATTCTTTTTATTAAACATGCCAATTTAAAACTTAACTTATTCATGTATGAGAGGTTCTCGATGAGTACATACCATATATAAGGAAGTTTTACATATATAATACATATATACTTACATACTATGTGAATATGTATATATAAGGGTTTAAATATAATATATATAAATATTATATATAAACATATATATGTAAGTGTTTAATTTTGCTTATATGAAGTTTACTTTTGAAGAAACACCAGTTTAAGCATTTACTGCTATTTTAGGTTTTACATTATTCTCTTTATGTCCTAAAGTATTGCACTCTATAGAAAAGAGAGATGTTTAATAGAAATATATTTAACAGTCTGTCATAAGCAACTAAAGTAGTCATGTATCTTTGTGTATTTTCCATGATGTTGAGGGTAAAATGGCTAAGAGTAGAATCTGTGGGATTTTGCAAGGATGAAGAGAAACTTGTTGACTATACCACGGAGAGTCTCTACTAATGAGTTGTTAATTTCCATATCACACTCAAACAGGAATTTACTCTTTCAACCAAAGAATAAAATTCCCTCTGACTAGAGCATGGGGCAGGCCACATTTGAAAACAAAATTTTTCTGACCCTAGAATATAAAAAAGAAAAAGAAATCCTTAGTCAAATATTCAGCAAGCCACTCTCTGGACAATAAAATCCCTAATTTCATCTGCGCATCTTAAAGCTATCCACTTGTGATAGTTAATGTGATCATAGTTTTTTAAGAGAAATTGCTGTTGTCAATTTTGTTCTCTAATACAAAATTAACACAAAAGTTAATTTTTTAATTAAATTCTAATACATTCTAGATGTTTCCAAAAATATTCATTTAAAAAACAAAACAAAAACACATTGCAGATGTAGTCTACATGTATAGGTATATAGGTCCTGGTTAACATGAATTAACAAACTTACTAGAGTGCATCGGGCTGGAGTTATAGCACAGGGGGTAAGGCATTTGCCTTGCACGCGCTGACCCAGTTGGCCCAGGTTTGATTTCTTCACCCCTCTTGGAGAGCCCAACAAACTACTGAGAGTATCTCGCCCACACAGCAAAGCTACCCATGAGGTACTCAATATGCCAAACACGGTAACAAGTCTCACAATGTTACTGGGTCCGCTCGAGCAAATTGATGAACAACAGGAGGACAGTGCTACAGTGCTACTAGAATGCATCAGTTGATATTTCTGTTTTCAACTTTATTGTTAGTTCATTTTGTTAAATCATTGATTATTCTTTAATGCTAATGCACCACAAGCTATTTACTGATAAAGACAAACAAAACAAACACCGGCCTCCTGTGGAGCGGGTCCAGTAACGTCTCCATTGTGAGACTTCTTGTTACTGTGTTTGGCATATTTAATACTCTCGGTAGCTTGCCAGGCTCTCCGAGAGGGGCAGAGGAATCGAACCCGGCTCAGCTGGCTGGCTGAGTGCAAGGCAAATGCCCTACCGCTGTGCTATCACTCCAACACTAATAAAGAAAAAACTTAAAAATTTTAATTGTCTCCATTTGATTATATCCAGGAATTATTATTATTTTCAGTATTTTAATATTCTAGTAATACTTAAAAAGGAAAGAGGGGACACAGTGATAGTGCAAAGGATAGAACTTTTGCCTTGCATGCAGTTGACCTGGATTCAATCCCTAGCATCCCCTATGATCTCCTGAGCACTGCTAAGAGTGAGTCCTGAGTGCAGAGCCAGTAGTAACCCCTGGGGTTAGGCCAAAAACAACAACAACAAAAACTTTTTTTAAACAGAGAGAAAACTGACTGACTTTCAATTTAGTAAACAGAATGGTCTCTTGTTTGATTTACCTTTATTTAGATAAGTACTAGGAAACCAACAAAAAAAACATAGAGGAAATTGACTATGTATATGAATTTATATATACATAAGTACATTTTTCTATACTACTGAAAATTTCAATCTCATCTGCCTACTACAAATTATATTAAAGTCAGATTTTTGTTTTTAACTATGATATAACACATTAGTTTTAATATTTGACATGATATAGAATCAATCAATAAAAGGAGGCTTGCTAGGTTCTCGAGAGTTGTATGAAACATGACAGGTCATAAATAATTCACGAATTGAAAAACCTGGATATCTGAAAGTGATAGTCTTAGGACCCAGAAAGTTCACTTTAACATTTCTATCTTTACTTCTGTCACTTAAAGATAGCAAAGAAAGAATTCAAGTATTCTGCTAATAATCTTTTTTGCTTAGAATTTTCAAAGAAGTTAACTAAAGTAAACATAAGTTGTATCAGACTCTTTTCTAAGGAAAGTTTCCCCTTCCTTGGATTAATGTCAGTGTATTTTCTGAAGGAATGATTAATTATGCTTTTTTATTACTATAATTTAATGCTGCTGCTACCTGCTTTGACTTTTAACTTTTCTTGAAGGAGCTGACACAAAAGGTGATGAGAAATTTTCTTCAGAAGTTACAGATTTGTCATACACATGAATAAATAGGGAAGTTCCTAAATTCAATATTAATCAAAGAAACTAATCCTTTAGAAGCTGGTTTTTATGTGACATTCTTGATTCATTAATCAAGAGTGCACCAAGAGATCCCAGGTTTCAAGTTTCAAAGATCTACAATACACCTATTTTAGAGCAGTGAGACTATCTGTAACCTTCGAAATGGTTATAAAGCAAACACACAGGGTTCTGGAATTTCTATGAAGGAGAGCCTCGGGTAGCAGTCTATTGAAATGGAACACCAGGTGATTTTGATGATATAATTCAAAACAAGTACATTCCTTTGCATTGGATTGCATATTTATTTGGTACAGGTTAGAAGAGACAGAGGCAGAGTTTATGAGAAACTCAAAACTCCCCTCCCTTTGTCATGTCCATTGAGCATCTTGATAAACTTTCTATAAAATAAGATATAACCCTTACCAATGTATCATACTTTACATCTGATTATCACAGAATATGCCATACATTACATCAACCCTATTAGATATGGAACACTAAAGAGTCAAGAGCATGATCATTAACGCAGGGCAATCTGACTGGAATCAGAAACCCAGTACTGTGACCTTTCTGACAAATGGCCAATTAATGACCTTATCACTCAATTTTCCTCACGTATAAAGTGAAGAAAATTTATAGTGTTTCCTCCTTTAGGTTACTGTGAGGATAAAGGGAATACATGACAAATAGTGTATAATATACAAATGTTAGATAGTATTTTAATATAACATGGGAGGACTCCTAGAGTTGAGACATCAAGTTTTTAAAAGAACAAAATCCCAGGAACTCAGGATGGTGCAGAATGAGAAGTAAAGGGAAGATTCTTGATGTTAATCATTCCAAAGGGGGAAAAAATATCTCTACCAAGGAACAGATCCTAAACAGAGACTAAAATTTAATGCCCATTATAAATGGTTGAGAAGACAAAATAGAATGCATTTTGACTAATACTATTAATGAATATACAATGAAAATTATATAGATATAGTTCAACAGACAAAAGCAATAGAGTAAATGGGGTCCAATTTATTTTTTGTCCTGCACACTCACAAATATTCAATCATAACCTCTATATATTTGAAATGGTACAATAGTTTAGCAGTCATTGATTAGAAATTGGGTATTTCCTCTGACAGACTAAACAAAAAGACATGAAAAGTTTGAAGAAAGATTTCTATGACAGAAAAGAAAAGATTTCCCTGACTATGAAAATAAATAGAAGTAGAGGGAAGTCAAATGGAAGTAAAGTCAGGAACTCAAGCACAGCTAGATGCCTCAGAACATCTAGTTAGGGAATGTTTTTGAGAAGGCAGAGGTTATAGAACGCAAAGAATGGCATAGAACAGAAGCCAAGCCTATCTTTTCTATAGCAGCCCCCAATCTGATGGTGTTTATTTGATATTCCTTCATTAAAAGCAAACAATCCCAATGAACATAAAAACAAGTATTATTTGACTTGTTTTTACTTATTTCCACATGTTAATTAAAGAATTAGTATTGTTTAAAGAGGGCCATATCTGGAAGATCTGAATTTCTAGAACATATATTCTGTTGTGGAGGTTCCCAAAGAAATGTTGACCCCTGAGTGATAGAGTACTGAAAAAATATATTCCAGTTATTTGACAATAGTCATATACAGTAAATGCATATTCTCAGAAAAGTATATGCATAGCCCCAACATCTTGCTAACAGATAAAATAATTATTGTGGACTAACATCCAGAAATAGCTTCTAATCTCACTTGCAGAAACTAAAAACAATTCTCAAAATTTGTACACTTTCAAGCACTCTGCTTGATTTTCTTTCTTCTAAATTATACCTTTGGTTGTTTTTGGTTGTTCTTTTAGCAAACAAGTGAGCTTAATTTTCCCTTGTTTTGATTTTAGTCTTATTTTCTGTGTTTTTAAATATAGAAAAAGGAAAAAACTTGTTGATTTTATAATTCTAGCCATTTCCCATGGTGAAATCTTATTAAGTATTATTGAATTACAATATACAGAATAAACTGTGACTTATCCTCATGGTTCACAAATGCTTTCTTTTTAGTAAGATCTATTTTTATCAATCAAGTAATATTGTCCCTATTATTTATTAAGTACTTTCTACACAAAGCTATCAAACTAAATGAAGTTGTCAAAATTCTGCTCTTTGGTTCTATAATCGACTCATAAAAGGTCATCTATTTAGCTTAGTAAAAATCTGATGAACCTGCTAGGAGCTCATTCATTAGCTTCTCTTGACCAGCTTCTGTATTCAGATAAACAAAATTAGACAGTATCTAGCTGCCTGAGAGAAGATTTGTTCTGTAATTTTTGTTACCCAATATCTCAGTACTTAGTTTTAATAGCCCCAAGGAAAACCAGAAACAGAAGCTAACCATAGGGTCATTTTCTGTTTTCCCCAAGGGAAAGCACAAGCACAGTCCCACACTACCACAAATTATTCTGTGGAGTTCCCCAGATTTGGAAAAAATGACTGGGGTCAGCACATCTAGAGGAATGCAATCAATAAACCTTGTCTAGGATAGACCACCTTTGTGATCATGATTTCTCCCCTGCCAGGAAGTATCAGCTACTTTCTTTAGAAGAAAAAAAAGAAACATCAGTCAGTATATAGGTCACTTTAGTGCCTTGTATTTATGCCCTGTCATACAAAAGACTTTTCATGCCACATCATGCAAGAACCATCATGAAGGGTGGTTCAGTTTGAAAGTCTACACTACAGATTCAAATGTACCCTCACTTTGGCCTTCATGTCCATCCTAAATTATGTCTGGGATTGGCTTTATAGCTATCTAGGGTGTATGTGTTTTTCATGAGGTATGAGAACATAAGATACAATAAATGAACTATTGGTTACTTCTTAATAATTTTTGACATTGGGTGATAAATATATTGAGATTTATTTTATTGTGTCATTTTAAAAATATTTTTTCATGACTGAAAATGTCAATAATAAAGAAAACAAAAAATAAAAGAAAATTGGCCTCTTTTGCCTGCATCTGCCTTAAATGGTAACTTTGGGGCACATTTCCCCAGCCCACATATTCCCACTCGGGATGTACTTGTGCTTTTTTCCTCTCCATGTTCTCTCTTGAGCATATATCTTTATCTACATCTCCTTCCTTCCCTTTAGTTCTCAAATAAACTTGCTTTAAATAAATGAAACATGTATATACCTATCTACTAGATCATTACAAACTGAAAATGGAATACTTTTTAGCTTTTTCTGTGTTATCTAAATTTGTCGTCAACACACACACACACGCACACACACTCACACACACACATGCACACACGTACATGCGCACACACATATGTACGCATACACATGAGCACACACACACACACACACAGAGGAGCTCGTACTTTTGGACCAAAGTAAATAAAGATGAAAACACACACCAGGTTATACAGCAGGAATTAAGGGTGAAGTGCCAGGTGAATTTATTTGCTCACTTTAAATCTCCCACGTGGAACACAGAGCCAATCCCAATAGACAATGGGATGGTAAGGGGAGTCAGGGTAGGGATATAGCTATAGATACCTGCAGGTCTCCAGCACTGTATCTTTTCTGTGATCGCTCTCTCTCCTCTCTCTCATTGCTCTCTTGTGTTCTCTTCTCTTTTCCTCTCTCTATCTCTCTCTCTCTCTCTCTCTCTCTCTCTCTATATATATATATATATATATATATATATATATATATATATATAGGATGAGGTAGAGCTGAGGAGCTGAGGGCCTGACAAATGATCAAGTACAGGCAGGCCTCAAAGGTCTGAACAGGGGCAGAATACATGCAAAATACTGGCTCAGAATATAGGCTGAGAAGCCCAGGAATGCTCAGATTCAGGCAGGGCTCAGATGCCCTAGTGTCAAGGTGCTGAGCATATGATGTGGTTGTGACTATATACAAGGAAAACAAGACCAGGGTCATAGAAACTGCTGGGGTAGAGTTGGGAGGCCCAGTGACAAGTACAGAACTGAGGAAAGCTTATACAAGATAGAGAGTAATGCAGAGATGGTTCCTGGCCATCGTTCAAGTAGACTGCACAGGATGAGACAAGGAGGACATTCATAGGATGAGAAAATGTCAGGGAAGGACTGGTGACATCATTCACAGGTAAAGGAGAGGCCTGGACTTTGCAGGAGGGACAGGCCCCACCTACTTTAACTGTATGTTAAATTATAACTTTTAGTTTGCTGAATTTTGTATGCAAATCTTCCATAAAATTTTTTAAAATTTTTATTAGTAAGACACCATGAGGTACAGTTGTAGACTTACAAATTTTTGTGCTTGGGTTTCAATTATACAATGATCAAATACCCATCCCTCCACCAGTGCCCATTTCCCACAACCACGGATCCCAGTATCCCTCCCACCCCCCATTCTCCCCATCCCACCCTGCCTCTGTGGCAGGGCATTCCCTTTTGTTCTCTCTCTCCTTTTGGCTGTTGTGGTTTACAAAAGAGGCATTGAGTGGCAATCATGTTTGGTCTATAGTCTACTTTCAGCATGCTTCTTAAGAACCACCCAGAACAAGAAAATCCTCTTTTTCACAGTGGCCAGAGAGATAGTACAATGAGTAGGGCACCTGCTTTGCACACACTGGCAAGAGTTCAGTCTTGGACATCACATATGATTCCCTCAAATTGTGCCATGACAGACCCCCCCCCCCCAGTAAAAAGCCAGGAGTAATCTCTGAGCATGATTGGGAGAGAGGAAAGGAAGGAAAGAAAGAAAGAAAGAAAGAAAGAAAGAAAGAAAGAAAGAAAGAAAGAAAGAAAGAAAGAAAGAAAGAAAGGAGGGAGGGAGGGAGGGAGGGAGGGAGGGAGGGAGGGAGAACACAGGTCTTGCCTTCATGTACCTTAGACTGTTCCAATGTCTTTTTTTTTTTTCATGTCAACCAGTTTCCAGTGTTAGTAGGAGTCTTGGAATAAAACAGAGTCTGTAGGGCACAAATTCCAAAACTAAATCATCTGGTTAGGCCTCGAATTAGAAGACTATTAGAGGATTAAAATTCAGATATTTCTCAGATTCGAGTCCTAGATTTTGTTCATTAGACTTTCTTCATCTATTGAAAATTTATTGGGTCTTTCCATTGATTAATTCCAGCATCATTTTAAGTCTCATTTGGTGATAGAACGCATAATGCAGAAATGAGACAACAAACTGACCAGAGTTTCCAATACTGAGTTGGATTCAAATATTGGAGAGAAATTGTCTCTAAAATCCTCTATAGAGAAACTTCTATAAGATTTTACTTACTTAAAAAGTGTTAACAATTTTTAATGCAGAAGATATTTAAGTATAGAGATTTTTGTCTTTACCAGCCAGAGTGTGTTACAATTTTATGATTTGTTTGTTCTGCTGTGCTTTGGGAACAGTACTGATCTTAATGCTTAATTCATATCTGTTATTTTATACTGAAGAAAACAATAATAAACCACTTTTTGACATATAATTTAGCTTAAAATCAAGGGAATAGCTTCACAATGAGGCCATTCATTTCTGGATTATAATATAAACAAAAGCCTTTGGATATTAGAGATAATAAAATACGAAGGTGTGAAAAAATAGGGATGAACCAGGGGAAGAGAGTGTTACCTTTATATTACAAATATATCACAAATATCTATTTGGAACCCTCAAGAAGGATAAATTGTAGTTAAAAGTATAATACAAATTAGATTATGACATAATACTTTTTTTAAAAAAAGGTTGATTACTTTGCTTAAGAATCTGACTAATTGAAATCTGACTATGTGAATGTGAAAATGTGGATAACAACCATTATTTTGCTAATGAATCTGATTAGGTGCCATGCTCTGCTTTGTGTGTATCCTATTTATCTTCCCCAGAACCCTGTGAGCTGCTGTAATACTCTGTGTCTTGCCGTTGAAAGTTTCTCAGTATCAAGGGTCTATTTTGAAATAATACATAGCAGATAGTAGAGCTAGAATTCAAGTCTAGACACTAAGACTCCAAAGTCCACACTTTGAATTATTTTACAATGCAGGCACTTGTGCTCTAGAATACAGTAGCACTGTAGCACTGTCCTCTAGTTGTTCATCGATTTGTTCCAGTGGGTACCAGTAATGTCTCACGGGTATTTACCAGTATTTGTGTCTGTAGCACTGTAACACTGTCCTCTCATTGTTCATCAATTTGCTTGAGCAAGCACCAGTAACGTCTCCATTGTGAGACTTGTTACTGTTTTTGGCATATTGAATATACCATGGGGAGCTTGCCAGGCTCTGCCATGCAGGCAGGATACTCTTGGTAGTTTGTTGAGCTCTCCGAGAGGGGCAGAGGAATCGAACCCGGGTTGGCCACATGCAAGTCAAACACCCTCCACACTGTGCTATCGCTCCAGCCCCTAGAATACAGTAATTAAAATAATAGATACTCAGGAAAATCTTGATAGTATAAAAAGAAAGGAGAAAGAAGGATCAAGATTCACAGCAGGGATTAGGGTAATAGGCACTTTCTGGAATGGCAAGTGAGCCCTCCAAAATCTTGTACCCAGATCTAATAAAAGGTGAGCTTGGGTGCTTCAGAGATTGAAGGAAAGTTTAAAGTCAAAAACTAGTTCAGAGTTGGGTTGAGAACATGAAATCAAGTCACAGAACACTTCCTGACCATAGGGGAGTTGTGCCAGGTGCTAATAAATATCAGAGAGTATTTTAAATGTTGAAAATCCATTCAGTCTTCCATATTCAATCTGTAATCACATTTGTGATTTACCTCAACAAATTTTATAGAGTGCTCTGTATGCTATGCACTGTCCTTAAGGCATGCAGAGTTACATAGACTTAACCTCCAAAATAGAACTTCTAAACTGAATAGCAAAGCAAAAACATAAATTAAGTTCAGCAGAGGACAAAATTTGATACATTGTATACCAGTCATTCAAAGTATTGTACAAATTCAGAAGTAAAAGAATTACATTCCTCTAGCAGAGTCTGAATAGGAGTAATTTAATCTGAGACATGAAGAATGTGAAGGATTTCGACAGGCAAAAATAAAGTAGGAATTCTTAGTAAGGGGAATGAATACCTTGAACAATATGAATAAAGGCTGCATTTGGGATGGCAATGGATGGCTGTAACCTTAGACAGATATATCCTGTAAATTAAACGTGGTGGTGTTAGAAAGGTCAAATTGCTTTAAATGTCAAACTGAGGAATTTGGTGATCTCAATCATTACTGGGCTTTTCATTAAGCTGAATTTAAGGAACAACAAGAGATAACTGATTCTAAAATGATAGATTTCCACAAATATACTTATTGGGCAGAGCCGTGGGTTGGGACATCATTCCTAGAGGTTCGCAAACCAACTCAGTGCCACCCTGACACCCAGACTGTCTCCACTGAGATCTTTAGTAATAAGTATATTTTCTTCACATTCATTATACTCTTACTAAGAATTTTCTCTTCTAAAACTTGACTACTCCACTTTTATGTTCCCTTATATGTATCTAATTAAATAACATGTAATTTGCCTCCAAGAATGCTATGATTTCTATTTTTGGTGGAGGTGGGAATCTATATCTGATGGCACTCAG